ACCTGTAAATAGTACCACAGACTTGGGACACATGGATCTCAGGGACATTTATCCGAAAGTATGGCTGAGAGTACCAGATTAACATTATCATTGATTGGTTCAATCTCACCAGGCTTTTTTTCTTTTATTTTGTCATACCATGTCTTAAAAACTACAAATCCTACCCTGGCACTTTATAAACCTCTCACAGGACTATTGTAAGAATCAGATCATAGAGCAAAAGATTAGCAGCATACAACCCACATTTCCAGAAAAGCTAGGAAATAAGGAGGACCCTATGAGAAACAAACATGGTCCCCCAGAGAAGGGGAAAGGACAAGATCTCCTGAGAAAATTTGGAACATGGGGAGAGGAGAGAGGGAGTTAGGAGAAAGAGAAGGGGAGAAGAGGAGGGAAAAGGAGGACATGAGGGAGCAGGAAGGTTGAGTCAGGGGAAGAATGGAGGAGAGCAAGAAAATAGATACCATAATTGAGGGAGCCATTATAGGTTTAAAGAGAAACCTGGCACTAGGGAAATGTCCAGAGATCCACAAGTTTGACCCCAACTAACAATCTAAGCAATAGTGGAGAGGCTACCTTAAATGCCCTCTCTTGATAATAGGATTCATGACTAACTTATACGCCATCCTAGAGCCTTCATCCAGTAGCTGATGGAAGCAGAAGGAGAAACCCACAGCTAAACAGCTAAACTCCTGGAATCCAGTTGCAGAGAAGGAGGAGTGATGAGAAAAGGGGTTAAGACCAGGCTGTAGAAACCCTCAGAAACAGCTGACTTACACAAGGAGGAGCTCATGGACCCCAGACTGATAGCTGGGAAACCAGCATAGGATTGTCCTAGACCCCAACTTGGTGTCAGTTAGGAGGCCTGGTCAGTCTATTGGGCCTCTGGCAGTAGATCAGTATTTAACTCTAGTATACAAATGGACTTTGGGACCCCACTCCACATAGAAGGTTACTATCTCAGCCTAAACTCATGGGGGAGGGCCTAGGTCCTATCCCAAAGATGTAACAGACTCTTAAGTCCTCCCCATGGAAGGCCTTACCCTCCCTGGGTAGCAGAAAGGGGATGGGATAGGGAGTTGGTGTGGGGCAGGGGAGTTGGAGAGAGAGAGGGAACTGGGATTAATATGGAAAGCAAGCTTGTTTCTAATTTAAATGAAAAAATCTGATGAGAAAAAATAAAGCAGAAATTTGATCCTGAAAACAACAACAACAAAAACAGCCAAAAATACCCAAAACCATAAGAACATCAAGAATCAGAACAATCCATTTTAATTCAAAATGCAGGCTGTATGATGTACATAAAAGGTATATTCAAGAAGCATCTCCCCTGTTTTCTTATACTGAGCTTATTAAAAGACACGTTCATATAATTATGATATGTTACTTACACCCCAAAACAGAATACCACAATATACTGTAAACATTTGATATCTCATGTGCAATCTATCAAGAAACTTTAGAAATGGAAGGAATTAATTCAATGAGAACATATACCCTCAGAAAAATTACACCGTGATTATTATTATTTTTTTATTTAGGAACATGTCAAATATAACCAGATTCTAGATCATATACGTAAGCTTAGGGAGGATAGACAATAGCATAGGTGTGATTTTTTCTTTTATAAGTATATCAAGTCTCAATTGTTTTATAATTCCATGCATATCTAACTCCAGTCACTTCCTTGTAAAGGGTGAAATTGCTGTTCAAAGTATGTATTGTAGTCAGGCAGTGGTGGCATATGCCTTTAGTTCCAGCACTCAGAAGAAAGAGGCAGGCTGATCTCCTTGAGTCTAAGGCCAGCTTGCTCTACATTGTGAATTCTCTATCTTAATGTATATTCCTAACTTTTTTCAAACATTTGTGGAAATATTTAAAAATATTGTACATCAAAGGGTTTCTGGTTGGGTTGGTATTTACATTTTGCCTTGGGCAGCTTGCAGAGTTTAATCCTGTACCAAAGATGCCACCACCTAGAGGTGAAGGCTCTATGTAGTTACGAGTCCAACTTCACATTCAGTGAGTTTTGTAGATGTTGTCTGATTCAATAGGGCCTTACAGTCATTTTGTGGAGAGAAACCTATAGTTCTGCAAACAACCAGGGTTGTGTGGAGGTTCCCATGGACCCAATTGTTCAACACCTAAATTAGATGTAATACAATGCTGGTACTGGAAGCTTCATTTGGAAAAAAGAGATGTCCGTTTTGCCTTTATTTGCCAATTTTATTTATATCATCTGTACTGTGTGTGTGTGTGTGTGTGTGTGTGTGTGTGTGTGTGTGTGTGTTGTGT